TAAGAAGAGAGAGACTTGGGGGTAAAATCAAAACAAAAAGAGAAAACTCAAGAAGTGACTCCATCAAAAAGAGCAATACAAAGAAGAGGAACCCAAAGAGGCCCACACCAAGACACATCATAATTAAAATGCCAAGGGCAAAAGACAATGAGAGAATCTTAAAAGCAGCAAGAGAAAAACAGTTAGTTACCTACAAGGGAGTACCCATACGACTGTCAGCTGATTTCTCAACAGAAACTATGCAGACCAGAAGGGAGTGGCAAGAAATATTCAAAGTGATGAATAGCAAGAACCTACAACCAAAAATACTCTATCAGCAAAGCTCTCATTTAGATTTGAGGGTCAGATAAAGAGCTTCACAAATAAGAAAAAGCTAAAGGAGTTCATCACCACCAAACCAGCATTACATGAAATGTTGAAGGATATTCTTAAGAAAAAGAAGAAAAAAGAAAGAAGAAAGAAGAAAGAAGGAAGAAGGAAGAAGGAAGAAGGAAGAAGAAAGAAGAAGGATGAGGAGGAGAGAGAAGGAGGAGAACAGGAGGAGGAGAGGTAAAAAATATGAACAATAAAATGGTAATAAATACATATCTATCAACAATTGAATCTAAAAGTCAAAATAAATTAACAAGAAATCTAATAAGGAGAGAACCAAAATGGCGACATAAAGTATATACCTGTACGTGCTGCCTCCCACAACCACATTAAAACTACAACTAAAAGACAAAACGGCTATCATCCAGAACCATGGAAAAGCTGGCTGAGTGGAAGTTCTACAACTAGGAGAAAGAAAAAAGCGCATTGAGACTGGGTAGGAGGTGTGGAGGGGCCAAGAGCAGAGGTACGGAGGCGCACGAAATGGGCTGCAACTGGGTACGCAGTTTTTTCAATCGGAAGGGAGATACAAGCTCCCGACTGCTCTGAACTCATTTCCGGCGATACTCTGGGGACCCAGACTCCTACGGGAAGAAACTGGACTGTCTGGCATCGGGTCAAAAAGCGAGGGTGGCTTTCTCGCAGAGCTGCTCACAGGGATCATTGTTACTGTGGGGGCGCGGGACTCGGGGACGCGGGGACGTGGAGACGGCTGACGGACAGCCATCGATGTTTGCTCCGCCCTAGTGATTCTCTGAGACCTCGCCCCACCCAATTTACAACCCCACCCAAGCTGTGCGCAGCGGCGCAAATGAATCGCCTGTCCTTTCACAGCCTAACCTAACAAACTGCAGCTGGGTCAGAGAGCTCGAAAACTTCAAACCCCAAACAAAGAGGAGAAATCTGCAGATCTCACTGTAGCTCCTACTGGGTGGACTCACACAGTGGCTGATTTTGCACCTCCTTGGAGATCCAGGAGCCAGTATACCCAGTGGTCAGATATCAGATTACAACTCCTCACATCCATAAGTGACACACTCAAGAGGCAGACTCAGTGAGCACCAAAGCCCCAATAAAGCAAGTCCTGCCCCATAAGGGTGTCTCCAGCACAGCAGTTCTTCCACTATAGACACAGTGGGTCCTCGCAGTCAATTGGCCTGGGGATCATTTCCTCTCAGGGCTACCAAAAGCAATCAAGGCTTAACTACAACAAGACTGTGCACCCAGCCCACAAACGGGTGCACCAAGAGTATCCACCTCAGGTGATTGGGGAGGCTGAGCCACTGGGCCCAATAGGACACCTACCACACAAAGCCACTCTATCAACACAGGGAAGCAGTCAAAATGCGGAGACAAAGAAACAGGTCACAAATGAAAGAAATGGAATAAAGCAAAATACTGGATATAGAGTTCAAAACCACGGTTATAATGTTACTTAAGAATCTCCTAGAAACCTCTGGGGAACTTAGTGAGACCTTCAAGGATCTTAATGAGAATGCCAAAAAAAAAAACAAAAACAGAAAAGGACCAGTCAGAAATTAAGCATACACTGACTGAAATAAAGAATAATATACAGAGATCCAACAGCAGACTAGAGGATCCCAAGAATCAAGTCAAAGATTTGAAATACGAGGAAGCAAAAAACACTCATCCTAAAAAGAAAAAAGAATCCAAAAAATATGAAGATAGTGTAAGGAGCCTCTGGGACAACTTCAAGCGTACCAACATCCGAATTATGGGGGTGCCAGGAGAAGAGAGAGAGCAAGATATTGAAAACCTATTTAAAGAAATAATGCCGAACCGGTTTGGCTCAGTGGATAGAGCGTCGGCCTGCGGACTGAAAGGTCCCAGGTTCGATTCCGGTCAAGGGCATGTGCCTTGGTTGTGGGCACATCCCCAGTAGGGGGTGTGCAGGAGGCAGCTGATCGATGCTTCTCTCTCATCGATGTTTCTAACTCTCTATTTCTCTCCCTTCCTCTCTGTAAAAAATCAATAAAGTATATTTAAAAAAATAAAAAATAAAAAAAATAAAAGAAATAATGACAGAAAACTTCCCCTACCTGGTGAAAAAAATAGACTTACAAGTCCAGGAAGCGCAGAGAACCCCAAACAAGAGAAATCCAAAGAGGACCACACCAAGACACATCATAATTAAAATGTCAAGTGCAAAAGACAAAGAGAGAATCTTAAAAGCCGCAAGAGAAAAACAGTTAGTTACAATTCTCCCCGTGTAACCAAGGTTGCTGTCATATTCAGAAACAAAGATGGAGAACCTTCTTTTGAAAGGGATTTGCTCATTCATTGTAAACCAGATCCCAATAATCCAAATGCCACTAAAATGAAACAAATCAATATCCTGTTTCCTACATTAGATGCAATGACATATCCTATTCTTTTTCCACATGGTGAAAAAGGCTGGGGAACAGACTCAGAGACAACAGTGTAATAGACAATAATACTAGACAAAATATAAGGACACGAGTCACACAAATGCAGTATTATGGATTTCATCTCTCTGTGTGGGACACATTTAATCCTATTTTAAATGCAGGAAAATTAACTCAACAGTTTATCATGGATTCATATTCAAAAATGGAGGCCAATCGGATAAATTTCATCAAAGCAAACCAATCTAAGTTGAGAGTTGAAAAATATAGTGGTTTGACGGATTATCTCAAATGTAGATCTGAAAATGACAATGTGCCGATTGGTAAAATGATAATACTTCCATCATCTTCTGAGGGTAGTCCCAGAAATATGCAGCAGCGATATCAGGATGCTATGGCAACTGTAATAAACTATGGCAAACCCGATTTATTCATAACCATGACATGCAACCCCAAATGGGCAGATATTGCAAACAATTTACAACGCTGGCAAAAAGTTAAAACAGACCTGACTTGGTAGCTAGAGTTTTTAATATTAAGCTGAGTGCTCTTTTAAATGATATCTGTAAATTCCCTTTATTTGACAAAGTAATAGCTAAAATTCATGTCACTGAATTTCAGAAACTCGGACTGCCTCATGCTCACATATTATTGATATTAGATAGTGAGTCCAAATTACGTTCCTCTAATTAATTCCCTTTCAATGTGCACGAATTTCGTGCACCGGGCTACTAGTGTATGTATGTATGTATTTAATACATATAAAAGCCTAAGTGACTGACCAGTTGCTATGATGTGCACTGACCACCAGGGGGCAGACGCTCAACACAGGAGCTGGCCCCTCGTGGTCAGTGCGCTCCCACAGTGGGAGTGCTGCTCAGCTGACCACCGGGCGCCAGACACGGGGCTCACGGCTGGAGAGTGCCGCTGCAGCAGCGCGAGCCTCTCCCTGTTGGGACTGATTGGACGTGAGCCAGTGGCAGGCACAGTGGGGCTGGGATAAGTGGGAGCGGCAGGCAGGAGCAGCAGGTGGCATTGGACTGCCAGTTTCAGCCCAATCCCCACAGGCCATGCCGAGGGACCCCACCAGTGCACGAATTCGTGCACTGGGCCTCTAGTATAAAAATATAGGACATATTCAAAGTTCAATAATTACTCTCTATTAGGTAAATCAAAGTTATGTAATATTGAAAATACTTCAATTCAAAATGTTTCCATTTCAAAAATTACTATTTCTATTATTTGTAAATAAAACGTACATAATATGAATGAATCTGAGAAAAAAATTTAAAAAATTTTTTCAAGATTGTATATAAAGTATCTTTCTTTGGGAGGCTTACCTAGCAAAAGTATACTGGCAGTTTCTTCTAAATCTGAAAATACACTTATCAATTTGACAAACACACTCTTGGGCATTTATCTCAGAGAAATAAAAATGTATGTTCATGTAAAAACCTGCACACAACAGTACATGGTAGATTTGTTGTAACAGCCAAAAACTGGAAACAACCCAAATGTCCTGAAATGTGACTATGATTAAACAAATTATGATATATCTATGTCATGGAATACTACTCAACAATAAAAAAGGGTAACAAAATTATAGAGATGGAGAAGATTAGTGGTTGCCAGAAGTTAGGAGGGTGTTGGTGTGAGCACTGTGGTGATGGATCTTGTATGTGATTTAATCTCATGCTGTTTTATTTTGTACACTAACATGTTGCACAGGCTTGTAGCCTAAGAACAATAGGCTATAAGAAATAGCCTAGATGTATAGTAGGTTATATCATCTAGGTTTGTGTAAGTATAAAACATCTATGATGTTCATATGACAACAAAATCACCTAAAGATTCATTGCTCAGAATGTATCCCATTTGTTAAGTGGCACATAACTGTATATGTATCTGTGTGAGTGTGTGTGTGTGTGTGTGTGTGCATGTATGTGTGTGTGTGTGTGTGTGTACATCAACTAAATACAACCTAGATGTCTGAGAATATGGGAATCATTAAAAAATATGCAGCCACTGATAATGTTGATAATGGTACAAAATTATAAAAGAAAAAGAGAATAAAACAAAATTCAAAATTAGTTCCTATAAATGCATATAAAATAACAGGAAATATTTTCCACAAAAATAAAAGATAATTGTGTTAGTGTGACAGAATTCTAGATATTTTTCTTAAACTTTTTTATAGTTGTCATATTATTTTCACAGTTAAAGAAATAAGCATACTCTTACCTTATCCCAGAAATCAACCAAAGCTGTAAAGTCCCATTTCTTAGAATATGCCACATTGTATTTCAGAATAGCATCCTATGGAAAAAGCATAAAGAAAAACCTCATCATAGAGTCAAGTGAATTATCTATGAATAGACTGTCTCCTTAATGAACTACTTCCAGTAAATTTCTTAATGCTGGACAAACTTCCTCCTACCATTAACTGTTCCACATAAGTAGCTATGAACCAACAGAATGCATACTAACTTATTATTTACTTAAGAAATATGAGATTAGATAAGTCAAGGATTAAGGGAAAAACATAATTATTCTAAAGCATACCTTCTAAATAGAGGTAATTAATACAAATTAAGTAGACAAAAATTAGATATTGGGGATTAAAAAATAAAATATTATGATTTCTGGACATTAAAAGGGTCACACTATGTATACAGACATACAGTATATTTACAGTATTAAAATTTCAGTCCCCAGACAGAACCTAGAGATAGAACCTAGACACAGAACCTAGAGACAGAACCTAGACACAGAACCTAGACACAGAACCTGGAGAGAGAACCTAGCGAGAGAACATGGCAAGAGAACCTGACTAGAACCTGGTGACTGAACCTGGCTGGAGAACCTGGACAGAACCTGGCTGGAGAACCTAGCAAGAGAACATGGACACAGAACTTCGCTGGAGATCCTGACCAGAACTTGGCTAGAGATCCTGGCTAGGCTGCTGATCAACTGAACGCTGTCTCCGTGTCATTCCTTCTTCGCCAACTCCGTCCACACCTTTGGGGACCCCTGGACCTGCTGGGGTTGGACCCCAGCACCTTTGCCCCCAGCTAAGCTTAATCTTCTATTTAACATGCAATGCATCTCATACTATAGTTAGGAATTATATTTGTAAAAAACTTTAAAGAGGTAAGAGAGCCAGGTCTTATATCCTGAGATAAACCAGGAAAAAGGAAACATTTTGCTTCCTATAAAAAAAGCAATTATTTTTCATCAAATCTAAATAGTATCTCCTCAGAATTGTTGATTGCCTTGTTAAAAAAAAGAGACTAAATTATTAATAGTACATTATCATTTTAATATGAAGAGAACCAAGTTTTTCTGTTTTTATTGGATTATGCTTTATCAATGAAAATAAAAATTGCAATTTTTGTGCCCCCCCCCAAAAAATAAATAAAATAAAATAAAATAAAATAAAATTTCAGTCCGGCCTGTGTGGCTCAGTGGTTGAGTGTCAACCTATGAACCAAGAGGTCACCGTTAGATTCCCGGTCAGGGCACATGCCCAGGTTGCAGGCTCGATCCCCAGTATGGGGTGTGCAGGTGACAGCCAATCAATGATTCTCTCTCATCATTGATATTCCTATCTCTCTCTCCCTCTCCCTTCCTATACATATATATATATATATATATATATATATATATATATATATATATATAATTTATATATATTTATTTTAAGGTCATGGGGATAGTAAATTAGGAAACAAATATGAGAAGAGGATCCCTGATGGAAAGGGCAATAATAAAAAAATAATTGAGAGACATTGCTACAAAGCACAAAATGGTATTTTTCCTTTATTATCCACTATTTTTATAAGCTACATATTAATAGTTATCTTCCCCCAGCAGTTCACACAAACTAAGAATTTGTGTAGAATGAAAAGTTAAAATAGTTCGCCATCTACTGGTATAACATTTAACTGTCGGAATAGGCAGTACTTTATAACTGGTTAGTCGTATTAAAAATAAGACAATAGGCCCAAAACAGAGACACATGCTGAACCCCACGTCACCAAACCAAACTTAATTACAGTTTTGGCTCTCCCACAAACAGAATCTTAAACCAGTCAATCAGGAATCACCTGGATGGCACTAGTGAGGTTATCTGCCTGATAGACCCTTGCCATTCCCTGGAGGAAAGTGACCTTGCAACAACCAATCCATTTTGCTACTATAACTTCCTTGTTCCCGCTCCCTTCTTTTTTATAAGCCTTTATTTTGCACAGCTCCTTGGAGCTCCTTTCTATCTGTTGCCCAAATTCATGAATTGTTGAATAAAGCTGTTAAGATCTTTAAAATGTACTCAGTTGAATTTTGTTTTTTTAATCCTAGAGTGAGTTATGCATAAGATAATCCATTTTGCAGAAAGAACTGTTATTTACAATTATGTTTTATTTCATTTCTTTTAAATTTCCATTTTGATTATATTTTATAATGTGTATATCTCAATAAAGTAATAAATATGTAGAATTTATAAATAACTGTTAATACTTATAATACATACCCCCAAATTTGTTTTACTGTAAGTGTAGGTAAATCTGAAAATCACGGTTAGATCATTACTATAAATCTTCCGAATTTCTTCATCACTAAAGAAGTTTTAAAAAATTAACTCTCCCAAAGAGCTTCCTAAAAAATACTTCATGCCATATAAATAATCACCAAGCATCTATCTAGGTTAAAAACTGAGCCAACAAAGTGTGTATTCTTTACTTGGAATCAGGGGATATTCATGTTCTTTCAAAAAAAGATGGGGGTATCAACCATAAAATAACATGGCCAAAAAAATTTTTTATTTTTCTCTCACAGCCATAATATAAGATTTTCCATTAGGAAGAGAAAAAAAAAGATTTGAAGAATTTTTTTTTTCTAATCACTTGTAACTGGTTTCAAAACCTCAAAGTATTAAATAGCAGTGTCTATCAATAGGTGAATGGACAAACAATGCATATACTGGGACAAACAGCTGATACACAAAACAACATGGATAAATCTCAAAAATCTTCATTCTACATACTGTGTGAATCCATTCATGTAAAAATGTAAACAAACTGAAAAAAGCAGATCAATAGTTGCCTGGCACCAGTGCAGAAAGAAGAATCAACCACAAAGGGGTAAAAGGAATCTTTGGTGGTGACAGCAATATTCTGTATCTTGACTGTAGTGGGGACTTAACAGATGTATGCAAACCTCATCAGATTACATATTTTAAAAACATGCACTTTCTTATATGTAAATTATGCCTCAAAGTTGGTAAGAAAAAACACTTTAAGTAGCGTTTACACTCTTATTTAATGGGGTTTTATAATTAGTATTAACTCCTAACATCTACTTTTACTTCAGTCTTCAGGTCTCAAAAGTAGTCTACTATGAGGTCTCCTATCATTCTCTATTCAAGCTATCAATTTCTAAGTGAGTTTTTAGTTCATAAATCATGATAGCACAATTCAGTAAAGCACAAAGAAGTCCACCCTTGCAAATTATCCGACACTTCACTTACAGATATATTACTATGTAGATCAACTTTTGAGGACATTGCTCCTTTTTTTTAAATTTTAACATCTCTAATCATGTTAGAGATGTTAAAATGATTTAAGCTCTCTTAAATCAACACCAAATGCATCAAAAAGCAAAAAGAGTATATTTACAGGGTGGGGCAAAAGTAGGCTTACTATTGTTCATATGGAAAATACAATCTACTTATATAAAAACCTTTGGTGTAACATCACGGCCAGAAGCGTGACCAACCAGAAGGAAGTCAGTCCTGTAGGGGTCGTCTTGGAAACAGCTGCGCCCTCCCCCAGCTGTTTCCCGGAGGGCGAGGTTTCAGGCAAGAACCCGCCCTCGGAGCGGAGCGTGGAAGTACGGAGTCCTGGGTTGCCTTGCCAAGGGCTTCGCCCTCCCCTGAGCTGTTTCCCAGGAGGCCTGAGGAAAGAACCCACCCTCCGAGCGCCAGGAGCACCCAGCAGCAGTCAGTCCTGGGTTGCTGAGGCAGAGGCCACAGCGTGGTAGAACTCTGGGTCTGGCCCAACAGGGGGCGTGGCCGGCCTTCAAAACAGACCCTGACAGTAGGGAGGAGGGAGCCCCATTCCTCACAGAATCCACTGTTGGATAGCTTGCTGTCAGTGGCCTGCCAGCCAGGAACCCCATTCACCTGCACCCCGGAACCTGACAGGAGGGAGAAGGGAGCCCCATTCCTCACAGAATCCACTGTTGGATAGCTTGCTGTCAGTGGCCTGCCAGCCAGGAACCCCATTCACCTGCACCCCGGAACCTGACAGGAGGGAGAAGGGAGCCCCATTCCTCACAGAATCGACAGGTGGCCAGCTTGTTCTCAGGGGACTGCCAGGTAGGAATCCTATTCACCTGCATATCTGTATAAAGTTTTAATACATCATATTAGAGGTTGTGGTGGTACTGTTTTACCCACAGCGTCTACAGGAATTGCTGCAAATTTACTTCTCGGTGGAAGCACCTTTCATTCCCAATATAACTTACCGATTCCATTAAATGAAACTTCAATTTCTAGACTCGATATAAACAGTGAAGTTGCTAAAACTATTAAAAAGGCCCAACTTCTCATTATTGATGAATGCACCATGGCATCCAGTCATGCTATAAACGCCATAGACAGATTACTAAGAGAAATTTGAATGTTGTATTTGGTGGGAAAGTTCTCCTTCTTGGAGGAGAGATTTTCGACAATGTCTCAATGTGATCGGCCATAGTACAAACAAGTTTAAAGTACTGCAATGTTTGGGGATGTTTCAGAAAGTTGTCTCTTACAACAAATATGAGATCAGAGGATTCTGCTTATAGTAGATGATTAGTAAAACTTGGAGATGGCAAACTTGATAGCAGTTTTCATTTAGGAATGGATATTATTGAAATCCCCTGTGAAATGATTTGTAATGGAACTATTATTGAAGCTACCTTTGGAAATACTATATCTATAGATAATATTAAAAATATTATCGTGAAATTCTTTGTCCAAAAAATGAGCATGTTCAAAAATTAAATGAAGAAAATTTGGATATACTCAATGGAGATTTTTCACACATATTTTGAGTGATGATTCCACTGATTCCACAGATGATGCTGAAAAGGAAAATTTTCCCATCAAATTTCTTAATAGCATTACTCCTTCGGGAATGCCATGTCATAAATTAAAATTGAAAGTGGGTGCAATCATCATGCTATTGAGAAATCTCAATAGTAAATGGGGTCTTTGCAATGGTACCAGATTTATTATCAAAAGATTACGACCTAACATTATCGAAGCTGAAGTATTA